ATAGTATTCCATTGTGTGAATGTACCAAAGTTTGGTTATCCATTCCTCAGTTGTTGGACATCTAGGTTGTTTCCAAGTTTTGGCTATTGTAAATATGGATGAATGTTTTGTGGACTGAGTAATGGGATCTGTGGGCTAAATAATAGAAGGGGTCTGTGGGTAAATGATGGGGGTTTTGAGAGGTAATGGGAATAAGTAAGATTAATGATTGGGTCTGTGGAGGTGATGGTCTATGGGGTGAGTAATGGTATCTGTGAAGTAAGCTAGGGTCTGCAGGGTGAGTTATGAGGAGTATTAGGGTTAGTGATTAGGGATCTATAGGGTTAGTGGGAGGGGTCTATGCAGTGAATGATGGGTGGTCTGTGAGGTGACTAATGGTATCTGTAGTGTGAGTGATAGGGATCTGTGGGGTGAATGATGGGTATCAATGGATATCTGTGGGGGTAACTTGGGATCTATAATGTGAGTGATGGAAGGGCCCTGAGGTGAATATTTGGAAGTGAGGGGGTGAGTAATCAGGGGTCTGTTGTGTCGACGGCAGGTGTCTATGGGATGAATGATGGGAGTCTGAGGGGTGAGTGATGGGATTTGTGGATGTGTGATGGGGGTTCTGTGGAGTGATGTGAGTCTATGGGGTCAGTGATAGGGGTTTGAATGGTGAGTGAAAGGGTTTTGTGGGGTCATAGATGAGAGGTCTATAGGATGACAGTGGGCTGAACGAATGGTGGACTGTGAAATAAGTCACGGAGGGGTTGTGGGGTCAGTCATGGGGCATTGCTGGGGTTAATAATTAAAGATCTCTCAGTGTTAATGTCAAGATATTTTATTTTCTGATTTTAAAAATTGCCACCATCATGGACCTCCTAGGTCTTCTTGTGCCTTTGTCCCAACAGTTCCTGCCAGTAGCTCCACATAGACCCTTTCTCTCTCCTCTCTCTGGCCCTTTTGGTGCCCACCCATTAGCCTGAATTTGACAAATTAATTAGCTTTGTCCCTTCAACTTGTGGGAGCAGGATTTGACTCTTCCAGCAGGTGACAAATAGTTCTTCATCAGGCAGTGTTCAAAGCCCAGCCCACCACTCATTAGTTCTGCTTGGTCTTGACTTTTGAGGTCTTGGCATCCAGCATGCTCTGGGCATAACTGAGATTCTTCACAGAATCAAGCACAAGGACTCCAGGCAGCACCAGCCACAGGGCATTCATGAAGACAAAGTAAAACCAGAAGTAGAGTGGGTGACCCAGCTCCCCATGCTGGAACCCGTCACGGTGCTCTGTCAGGAAATAGAGTACATCCCCATAGATTTGGCCTGTGGGAAGTAAGAGGGGAAGGAGAATCTCTGTGAGGAAGAGGATGCTATTCCAAGCTATCCCAAGTCATTACTCAAGGTCTCAGAGTTCAGGATTCCTGAATTCAGAGAACTAAGAATTCTGACACCATAGGACTGAAACGTTCAGAAATTAGAGAAGTGAGAATTCTGGGAATTAGAGAGCTGAAGATTTCTGAATGCAATAAAGCTCCTATCTCCAGAATTTAAGAAAGTTCAGAATTTCAGAATTAAAGACAGCCCTGAAACACAGAACTAAAGAAAGATAATTTAAGAACATAAGATGACTGCATCTAACCTGAAAGGACCCCAGAATCCTGATCCTGGAGGAGCCAGAGGCCTCCTGCCACCATGGACTACCTCATGTAAACTTCATAAGAGACTTTGTGATGCAGGAGAGGGAATGAACCCTCCTTACTTTATAGAGCAGGCTCAGAAAGGATCATGGCTGTTCTAGAACTTAAGAGGGTTTGTGATTCAGACTGACTCACTCTTGTATGGGCACAATTAAAGAGATCCCGCCCATAGTGATACCCCCATCAATGTCTTTTCCTCACCCACAGAGACCACAAGCTGTAGGGCAAAGCGGAAGGGTTGCCGGCGGAGAAAGGCAATCACAACCCATAGGCTGAGTGGCCCCCACATCCAAGCTGTGATAGTCTCCATGCATATTATGAAGTTCTCACTCCTGTAGGAAAAAGGATTGGGGATGCCTGGCATTAGTGCACTCTGCCCACAGGGTACCCCATTAGTGCCCCCTGACTCACCACCACCCCAAACCAATACTGGTCTCCCTTGACAAAGGCAAATACTTACAGAATGTATCGGCTGTCCCCTTTGGCATACTCTTTCCCTGAAGAAAAT